CAAGATCAACAACAACAAGCCCACAATTGCACTCAGCAGAGTCAATAAATGGCACATTTGACTCTCTCTCATACCATTTTGAACCAAGTCCTCACACAACTTCTGCCCTGACACTTCATCCATCAGCTCTTAAAGCACAGGAGCAGCACCCCACAAGCAAACCTCTTCTCTGCTACGCCATCTCCAGAGTTGAGGCCCAGATGAGAAACAACCTTATCTTCCAATATAGCAAGGATACACCTCTAAAATCAGACCCTGGCAATTTGACCTAAAGCTATGCTTACTTGCAAAACAAAGTCTCCATCATCTTCAGAGCAAGAAGGAAAGAGAGTGAGAGGGAAAACAGGGGTGGGGGTAGGGGGGAAAGTCCAGTCCTCTCTGACCTGATTGGAAACTTTGTTGTGGCAAAAGGAAAAAAAAAATCTCTTTGGCCAGTTGAGAAAGTGCCTATGGTTGCTCTTGTATTGGGAGGGTCTGTTCAGGGTTTCTCAATCTTCTTTTCTCTGTCTCTCCCCCCTCTCTTTCTCCCCTTCTCTTGTTTCAAAAGGGGCCTCTGGTCAGCGCTGATTAATAAGTGTTTTTTGTTGTGAAGTGTTGAATAATAGAAGATGGCCAGTGACCCAGGAAAGACTAAACCTTGTGCTACTTTATTGTGGCAAGCTGAGAAAGGGGCTTTAGGACAGAGACCCCAAGCACTGACCCGCACACATCCTGTGGATTCCCTATTCATTCTCACAGCCTTCCAGTCGCCCAGAGCTCCCATTGTTTGCCAAGCAACAATGGAGATTTTGCACAGAAAGTAAAGCTCTCTTCAGATTCTTCTCTGATGTTTTGCATTCGGGGAAACAACCATCCTTAACAGGTTTTTTTTTTCCCTACACTGAATTTCATGAAAACTCTCAGGATTTGGGCTTTTATTCTCATTACTCAAGACTTTTTCTACAAACCTAAAAAAACAAACATTTTCTCTTAATAAATTTTTTTTCTTTTTAATTGCACAACATATTTTTCCTGGGGTACTGCTTCCCTAGTGATTTGAGGGGAAAAGTGAGATTTCTTCTATTCCTTAGCATATCACCATGTTTTAATGCACACCACATATCACTGTAATTCGTAAAAATAACTGTATTCAAGCATACTCTTTTTTGAGTGAGAGACAACTGGAGAGTGCTGCTTCTTTCAAAAAAAAAAATTAAAAGCAGAAAATTGAAACCTCTTGGTTTATTTCTGCCCTGATTAGGAAAGCCTAGCTTTTATGTCCTCAAAGGCTGGCCCTTTCCCCACACTCCAAACAAATAGTTTATCCACAGCCACCAAGGAGGGCAAATGCCACTCCATAGACTTGGTCTGATTTACCTGTAGGGTCCAAACCACATTTCTCATTCCAACCTAGGCATTTGTTTGTAGTCTAATTGTGTGGATAAAAACTCTTGCAGCTGTCAAGCCTTTGGGTAGAAGAACAGTTATATGGATCAAAGGCCTCAGGATCTCAGAATTTTGTCTAATTGCTTTCTCTGGCCTGTTATAAACAGATTTTCATTCCTCTCTGGAATCCACTTACGCATGTCACCAAGTGGCTAGTAGGTTTGGGTGTTTGGTTGCGCCTTGCATTTGCAGGTTTTGTGTCTTCTTGTGAATTTACTAGGCATTAAAAAAAAAAAAAAACAACCCAAACAAACCAAAAAATCAAGAGCACACCCAACCAACCAAGAGCAGGAGGAGGTTGCAATCAATGGGACAAATTCCTGTTAAATTGCTAAGAATGGGATTTCTTCTCCCTCAGTTATTTGAATTTATAACTGACTGAACATTTTTATCAGGACCATTGGTTTTTCTCAGCGTTTACACCTGCGTAGGGAGGTCTAGAAATCCACCCTTTGGAGGTGAGGAATAAAAGACCAGTCTGTCAGAGAAACCTTTAACAAGTGAAGGGGGAACAACAGTCTTTATTAAGGATATTGGGTAGCAGAATTACCTTGGCGGGGGCGGGAGGCGTTGTAAAACATCCATGTGCAAAAGGCTCTCAGGCTGAAACCCTTTCATCGGTGGTGAGGGGAGGGGGAGGCAGGGCGGGGGCTCGCAAACCCATTTGTCAGTGCCACAGAGGAGGGGTCGTAAAGCCAGCGGTGCGGAGGGGTGGGCTGCCGGTGGTCCGCCAGCCCCGCACACACAGCGGCTGATGCCCAAAGCGGGACGCGACTACAAGTGCGCTGAGCGCTCCAGGCTCAGCCCGGGGCCTGCCGAGCCCCCGGCCGGGGCGGTGCGGAGCAGGGGACCTCGGCCTTTCACTTTCATGCCCACCACATCAACGCTAGGAAGAAGGGAGGGGGGGAGGAGAAGGGGGGGGGAAAGCAAGCGCCTTGCCGTATTGTTCCACTGCTGAATTGATATGCTAATTCCCCTTGTGAGGGCATCACAAAGAACACCTTGCACTTCTGAAAGACTTTTGTGTCCTGGACGGAGAAGTTTATTATCAACTAATTAGCAACAACTTCTAGCAATGAGTAGGGTTACATTTTCATAAGCTTTGAACAAACATCCTGAGCTGCGTTGTGTCAGGATGATGGGCTTGCTAAGGAAAATAGAGTCCTAAATCGGGGAATGAGCTTTAATAATTAGCGGCTGCTATATATGGAACCTCTGTCGACGTAGGTCTTCTTCCGAGGCTTTTGATTCACGTTGCTTCCAGACTTGCAAAGGACCATGACAAGCACTCTACAAAACAAAATCTTACTCAGGGATGACTAGTCATTTTTTCCTTCATATTAAGGCTCTTTTCTTCCAACCGAAGAGTATTTTAGACTACCCCGACAATGCACCAAGGATAATCAGTACGTGAAGAAGCTCAGTACAATTAAACATATTCATATTAAATATTATTTTGAGAGGCTTGTTGTAGGCAGTCTAGCACTTCAAATATAAAAATCGCCTGGGAAAAGGGAAGGTCATATGTGAAATTACAAAAAGGAAACACCCATAAATTTCGCAGTTTTTCTGTTAGTTGTTGGGTTTGGGGGGGGTTGGGGTTTTTGTTTCTTTGTTTGTTTATTTGTTTGTTTTTTTTAATTTTACTTTGGTTTTTATTTCTGTGATACTCTTATTATAGTCTTTCCAAAGAAGGAGGACTCGGTCTCAGTAGTAGGTTAGCTCAGTCCTCTTCCTCTGGACTTCCTGTATCTTTGGAAGCAAAAGCATATGCTATTTCCTTGGTTGAAAGCAAAACTAGGAAAAACCAAGAGGACTTTATTTTTATCAATGTAGTAAGTGCTAGTTATTTTCCTATTGACTTCATGCAATGAGAATACAGCGGAAAAAACCCTCTGAAGGTAAGGACGTTCTAGGGATTACTGATAATTATTATTGACTGGAAACAACATACTTACAGCTTCACGTTATACTGTGGGGTTTTGGCTTTTGAGGTGTGTGATTTGACAGAGGGAGGAGGTGGGCGGGAGTGTCATATTGCAGTTCTAATAAGTACTAGGTTGATTTTGCGGTTTATACAGGGGGCTCCAGTATAGCGTTCCAAAACCCGTCCTGGTCCTGAGGAGAGCACTGAGGAAGCTGCTTGGGCCCGTACTGGGATGCAGAAGAAAGCAGATCAGCTGCGACTGCTTTTGCAATTCACCTTATCCTCTGCTATGGAGTTCATTTAATGGGTAAACACGCTCTCCATCACTTGGTCTCTTTCTGTCCCCTTCTCCAAGTGAATTCATTTGTTTAAAATCCTAAAAGGTGGTATTAGGTCTTATTGAAACCCAGCAACGTAAGGGGTGGGAGTGGATTAGATTCCTTCATTTCCTTTTGGTAATCCCAAATGCAGCTATCTCTGGTTCCTTAATCTCCTCTAGAGTCGGATTACCACCCATTTGAGCAAGTGCAGCTGGAATTAGGAGATGACAAGCATGCAAAGAAAGTGCCAAGAACTCCTGAGGTGACCAAGATGTCGGGGTGGCCCTGGCCACCCCACAGCACCCAGGGGTCCCCTAGGGCCCCAGGCCATGGAGCGAAGAGATGGCGGGTGGCCCTGGGCTGGGCAGTGCCCACCGGCCCCTGGCACGGACCGGCCTTTCTTCTCGCTGTGGTTCCGCAGCTGGAGGGCCACCGCTGGGTCGCTTTGGTGCTTCATTTGCCTCATGACAGATTTCTGCCAGCCTCGCGGCTCTCTGACATGGCCAGGCTAGCCACACTGCCATACATGAGTATGTAATATATATATATATATATACATATATATATACACACACATATACATTGATGGATGTTCCCACATTTGCCAAAACAAAGAATTGATATAAAATAGTCGGTGAAATGTGGAGAAAATTCGACCTTGCTTATGCTTTTCTCTGTCCACCTGGAAAAAATCAGCCCACATTAAAACACATGTATGCATGTGCGGTTACTTTTTGAAACAATCCCTCATATTTGATTGAAATGGAATATGCTACCATGTATATTTAAGATTAAAGCTTTATTTTTAAAGGCCTGTAATCCTTTCAAGGAGATTTTGTTGATATAAGACTTCATCAGAAAGTAATTGTGGATTGTATAGCTCTGACCTTTGCAGAAAGCAGGGTGCAGGTCTGCACAGATGAGAAATACTGTGCATCATTTTCTTGGGAAGCCCCTGCAGACCAGCTAAGTATGCATACAAGTTCAAGAATTTATTTAAAATGTTACAATTAGTGGTTCAGTCGTCAAAGTTGGGGATGTGGTATTTTTATACTGACTGAAATACATGATTTAAATACACTTTAAAAAAAAAAATAAGGCCAGGCCTTCTACACAAATTGGAGGCAGCTAAATGCTCTTTTGTGCCTGCAGCTCTAAGGAGGCTGTGATGCATGTGAAGGAAAGTGACTGACTTAACTCATTGGGATTCAGGGAACGACCTGCCCTCTTTAGGAAAAAAAAAAAAAAGAAAGGCAAGAAGAAGACGAAAAGTAAGTGTGTATGTGTGTGTGTGTGCGTGTTCGTGTTCGCGTATGTGTGTGTGTGAGAGAGAGAGGAGAGAGAGAGGAGGGGGAGACTCACACGGAGTCCTGCTTTTCTGAGCTGAGAGCTGACGGTTCCTAAGCAGAAAGTATTAGGAGAAACACAGCATCTTATCTCTTTGCTGCATTTACACAATGAAATCACTTCTATTTTTTATTCTTGCTAACCGGCCGGTTTTGCTTGAATCCACTCCGAGCGATGGACAATGGGAACAAACAAGTACTTAAAAACAATTAGAAAAAAAAAAAAAGGAGGAAAAAACCCAAACAAACCCAACTACGCTGGGATGAGGATTACTCACTTTAGCGCTGGCTGTAAGTACGAGGTCTCTTGCTGTATTTCAGAGCGATAGTGACAGGCTGATGCTTAGGTTGGTGTTGCTCCGGTTTGTTTTGATTCTTTGTTGTTCTACCTTTTTTTTTTTTAATCTATCACCCTCTCTTTATCGGTCTATCAGTCTTCTGCCGACTTACTGAGATAAGATAATAAAAGCGGGAGAGGGGTGGACAGCTGAGCGGAGCGCGGCGCGGCGGCAGGGCAGCAGCCGGGAGTGCGGGGCTCCGCGGGCGCGGACGATTGTCCGATGTTGGCAGTGGTGGGGGCAGAGGACTGTTTTCGGCATCAGTTTGTGGGCTTAACTGGAATGAAAATGCGTTTCTTTTTTTTTTTTTAGCGCGGGAATTTGCGCGCCTGTGTGTGTGCATAAACATCCGCAGGCAGCGTGATCTGCTCGGGTCTGTGTAGTGCATCGTGCGTCCGCCCAGCTTGAAGGAATGCGGTGGTCAAAACAGCTTTCCAGATGTTTGTTTTTTTGGGATTCCAAACCCCCCACCCCCACACACACACGCTCCTCAAGCGTACGTGTGATAGGAGTACTTTTCCCTGGAAGGATTTGCTTTAAATAAACTAAGATCAGAACTGTCTCCCTCTCGCCTAGCCTAGTAGCTTTTCTCCCCCTCCCTTTCCTCCTTTCTTTCTTTATTTCTGTGAGAGTGCTCTTGGGAAAACGGATCGGTTGGAGGGGAAGGCTTTTGAAATCGTGGGGGAAAATGTAAGAGAATTGAGAAGGTCCGGACTTTCTTTGTGTGGTGCTGAAGCCGCGGAGCTGCTTTGTGCTTTGGAAGGAGAAAATGGCGAGTCCTATTGTGCTTAGGCCATTTTCTTCCGGTACAAGGGTTTTCCCCCAAATCTTAAACACTTCAGGGCTCTTTTGAAAGAAATCTCCCAGCCTACGAAGTGTGAATGGCTTCAGCTCTGCCTTTTCCGCAGCCGCTAGCACCTCACATTCGAGAGATCCCACACATTTCTCCTTGCAGGGCTAGTGCACAATTTCTAAAGCTGCTGCATTCAGACCCTTTTGCAGCGGAGGGGCTACTTCAGCTGCTCTTTGCCTGCGTTATTCAACTCAGGAGAGCAGGTTATGAGAGAAGTGGGGACTGAAGAAATAACATTACGAGACCCGTCCTTCCTTTTAAATGCTAAGGAGCAGCGTTGGCCAATTGTGTGTGTGTGTGTATGTGATCTGAGAAAAGATTCGTGAACGACCGTCTGACTTTTCCACTAAATTATTTAAACTTTATGTATACATGCATGTATGTGCATGAGACAGAGAGTGTATCTGTGTGCGCGTGCATGTAGCCACGTAGCAAGATCTTTCTTTTAGATTCAGAAAGAGGCCATATATACGTAAACTGAGATTTTAGAGCATATTTAACCAGTGTGTGCAAGGTATTCCCGTTGCAAGGTGCAATGAAAAAAATAGTTCACAATGTTGTCAGTTCTTTTTAGGTCAGCCTATACGTAGGTACCAGTTACCAAAAACCACTTTTGAATTTCCATGTTAATCCGTTTAAGGAAACAAATGAGAGTCCGAGGTTTAAACACCCTTGTCCGATATTAACCACTTCCCATTAAAATGTGGGCTTGCCCAGGAGTCAGTGATTAAAAGCTCTTTGAAACAGGAGAGCTATCAAATAAAACCCAAGAAAGCTGAATACCACCACCACCACCTTCTTCTAAGGTTCTCAATTTAAAAAAAAAAATAGCATTATTAATGATCATAACAAAGTGAAGGCGTTGGTGGAAATGCCCCGGAGGGGTCGCAGGCTTCCCGGCCCTGCGGTGGTGCGGGCCGCGCGGGCGCGGAGGGGCGCGCAGGGCCGCCCGCACGGTCTCGGGAGCAGCGCCCGCTGCCGCCGGCGGGTCAGGACCATGGACAGGGACCCGGAGCAGTCGGTGTCACTTCGGGAAAAGGGGGTGAACGGGTCTGCCTGCCCCCACGCCGAGGGGAACGCCGAGGGCTGGGCGGCTCTGTTTTTCTTGCTATCCCTTTCGTGTTGCTACTCAAGTTTCTAAGCAAAAGACTTGAGAAATTACATTTATAATTCTCCTGCAGGATAGCAAGGTCTGTTAAAATGCCATGACAGGGATTTCTCTTCTTACTGCCCGCAAAAGAAGTAAAAGGATCTCTTCATTCTGCATACGATTGCTTTTTTCCCTTCAACTCCGAGCCAAAAATAAATCTACTGCTCGGATCGGCTGAATGACAGTGGTGTAAATTAAATTGATTTTATCAGTGACCAAGTTCCACAATTGGAAAAATTAAATGCCACTTTGACAGACAAGGATAATATGGAACAGATCTATAAAACAGCTCCTTTGAACAACAACAACAACATCAACCCAACAGGAGCCTAGATACTGGCAATCCCGTCTTCTTCATCCTGCTCCGTTATGTCACATCATCTAGTTTGCCTTTCTGCAGAACCGAAATGATTGAAACCATTGTTCGATGCAAAGGGACTAGCAATGATGAGTCATGGACTTTATGCCACAGCAAAGGCAACAAGACATGATTCTCAGGCAAAGTTCTTTTTTTATTTTGATCGCTCTTCTAATTGGATTCCCTTTTAAGATGCACTTTGCGACACTTTCAACCCGCCCCACAGCTCCAGCAAACTCAGGGTTGAGCTCCGGGAAGGAAAAGCCACTCTACCTCCACCTAAGAATTGCACAAATGCAACTTCCAAGTCCTTTAGCCAGGAAAAGCCCTACTTCTGCACCTGCCGCCGGCTTCCCAAGGCGAGAGGAGGCCTTGAGCCACCCCCGCGCTTCCTGCATGCCCTAGTTCGGCCCGGTTCGGCTCGACTCGGCTGGCTGCTCGGTCGATGGGGCCTGCCTGCCGCAGAGACACCGCGTAGCTCCGGGGCCGGGGGAGCGAGCTGTCCCCGCACGGACAGCGATCCGCTCCCGCCCGCTGCCCGCCGCTGCCTCGCCGGGACGGGCACGGTGGGAACAAAGCCTGTGGGGCACGGCGCGGCCTGGCCCGGCTCCGTCGTGCTCCCGGCCCCTTGTCGGGCTCCAGAGTGCTGCGGGCGGGAGGCTGGGACGACGCGGGACCGGGAAACGCGGCGGTGCCGCAGTGAGGGGGGGGTCGCCTGCCGTGCGGGAAGGGTGACCTCTGGGTGAGCCGGCGATCAGGCTCCTCTTCCTCGCTATGACTGTACAGATTCATGTGACATTGAGGCTGGGGAGGTGGGAGGAAGGAGGGGGAGTTGGGGGAGAGGACCCGGAGGGAAGGGGGAGGGATGAACTTTCTGCCGGGCTCGGCTTTTCACACCTTTCTCTCCCGATGATGCGTGAGGACGTTTTGGGAGAGAGTGGCTCTGCGGGGTCCCCTCCGAGCAGGTCCCCCTCGACCTTGAAGGGACCCGGCCGGGCCGCCCGGGTCTGGGATTGTGCCGGGTTTCAAGGACACGGGAGATGATCAGGACTTTGGGAGCCAACATCTGCCTGGCTGGTGACGTCAGCAACCCCGTGTAATCCTCTTGTACTGAAGGCAGATGCCTTATTTGTTTGGCTGGAGAGGCATTAATCCCTAATTCTGGAGCAGCAAGCGAGGGGGAGAGACCGGACCGCTTCCTATCCCCCGAAAGCAACTAGCGGCACTCTCCTTCTCTCCTGCTCTCCACGGCTCCGACTGGGCGGAGGAGCCGTCAGCCCCCGGCAGGTTTGACCATTTTCTTTTTGATTATGATTTTTTTTTTTAGTATTCGGAGTGGTTTCATTTTTCTTATTTTTATTTGAATGGTTGGATTTCCCCCTATGGATTTAGTTCTTTGCTCTCGTACACTCTTCAAGCCGAGAAAGAAGAGGGAAATGATGCCCCCCACCCCCCTCCACACCCTTAAATTTTTTTTTTTTTTTCATTTTAAGCTTTCCCTTGTGCTTGCTCTCCGGGGATTTTCCAGCGGTGGGCAAGGAGGTTGCTCTCTGCGGTTCCCCGCGGCTGGCCCCTTCCCACCTCGCTGCAGAGACTCAGATGCCCGCTCGCCCCGGCGCTGCGGTGATGGGCGTTCCGCCTTGTCTCTCCTCGGCCGCAGACCGAGCAGCCCCACAGGCTAGGGTCTGGCCGGCCCCAGATCCGCGTCAGTCCGTGTGGCCCCCCTTCTCTTCCCTTCCCTTTCCTTCCTTCCCTTCCCCTTCCCTCCCCGCCCTTCCCCTGCTCTGACTCCCCCCTCTCTTCCTTTTGTCATTGGCAACCGCGCGGCGTGCGGGCTCCCGGCGCCCTTCCCTCCCCGCCTGCCTTTCCTTTCCTCCCTGCCTGCCTTTCTAACGCTCTTGCTTTGTCTGTTTTCCAGGCGGCCGCACGCAGGAGCTGTGGTGCCGAGGGGGGTCGGAGCCGTCTGCCCAGTTTGCCCCCAGATGCCCCGGCAAGCTACGGGAAAATCTCTGGGAAGCCCAGTCCGCCTCAGGAGACCGGGCGCCGCCGCATGCAGCCGCAGTACATCCCTCTTCGCCTCCTCTCTCTCTCCCGGGCCCTGGGGCCGAGGAAGCAATCGAGGTCAGCCGCCCAGTTCCCGGGGTCCGGCCGTGGTCCAGCCCGCAGGGTGATGCAAGGTGCCCGGCCGCTCTGCTCCTCCCCGGCGCGCCATCGTCACCGAAAAGGAATGGTCCCCGTCCTGAGCGGTGAAAGATGGCAAAAAGCGTAATAATAATAAAAAAAGCTTAGGCTGATTTTATTTTTTTTAAATTATTGTAATGACTTCACCCCTCATTTCCTCACTCGCCAGTTCAGTGTAGGCAGGCCAGATGGGCTGCCCAGGCCCTCCCGGGAAAGGGGCAGGTGCGAGTGAGTTAAATTTTTTTCCGCTTTACAAAGAAAGATGACACGTCCTGCCCTTTCATTTTTCATCGCCGAAAGACCTCCCTCTGCCCCCTCCTTCTCCCGGCCGAGAGGAGCGGGGATGCTCTGGGGGTGAGGGCTCCTCCCGCCCGTACTCCAGGGAAGCCGCAGGACCAGGCGGACCGAGGCAGCCGGAAAGAACGGTCATCCCCCTGAGCCAGGGATGCCAAATCACAGACGTCGAGTCGGGGAGAGCCAGCTTCTGTATTTAAAATCATGCGAAGACGCTGGTGAAATTAAAGCAGTCGCCTGGAAGTGTCTAATAGGCACACGTTTAATTTCTCTCCCTTTTTTTTTTTAATCCATTAAATACCTATTTAACAGCTTCCTGAGCATTGCAAACAACAGACCGGCTAGTCAGAAAATTCGAGCATGAGTTACATGCAGCCCAGGCCAGGATGGGACTAGGGCAGAGGGAAATCATCGGGGTTTTTTTCGGGGATCTGTTGCTGTTCTGCTTCCAGAGAGAGAGAGAGAGAGAGAGCAAGCGAGCGCTCTAAGGCTCTGACTCTCCGTGTTCACAGCGGACCTTGATTTAATGTCATACAATTAAGGCACGCGGTGAATGCCAAGAGCGGATCCTCAAAGCAGCATGAAAGATCTCGCTAGAACACACCATAACAAAAACGTTAATACTAAAAGTAATAGAAAGCTGAAAATTAAAAAAAAAAAAAAAAAAAAGGAGAGACAAAGCAATAAAGAGCTCGACAACCTATACTCACCTATGGAAACCGAGACTAACTAGGACTGGCATACTGATCGGCGCAGCCCGGTGGAGAGATGTCACTGCCACGGGACAGGCGCCCGCGAGGGCAGCTGTCATCAGCAGGTAACGGGGCCGTGGGGGACTACTGGAGCGTTGGGGTAGCCGTGGTGGTTTTGCAAGGTGGTGGTGACTCGACCTCTTGCTTTCTTGGGCTGAACCATGTAAAGTCGATTAATGGGAAATAAATACATTTTCTAATATTATCATCGCGAGGATTGTTCTTTGCGCATCGCCCAGACGGTAGCTGGGGGTGCCCGCTCGGTAGTGGGTCCTCCTCTTGCGGGACTCCTCTGGAAGCCGAGGAACGCGGGCCCTGGGGCAGTGGCGCGGTGCGCGGGAGGCAGCAGAGCATCGTCTGTGCCGCGGGCCGGCAGAGCCATGTGTGGCGCTGGTGGATGGGTGCGGGAGATGCTGGAGGTGCGGCGGGGACACTGCAGCAGAGCCGTGTGCGGAGAGGCAGCCGGGGTGCGCGAAGAGGAGTGTGCGGCGGTTGCGAGGGGGAGCGGAGGAGAGTAGCGTACGGGAACGGTGTGGGGAGATCGGCTCAGAGCAGTGCCGGCGGGCAGCGGAGCGGCGTGCGGGCTTTTTGCGCTGGTCTGGGCGGCAGGGCGAGGAGCAAGGCGGCGTCTTGAGAGCGCGAAGCGGGGGGCGGCGGCGGCGGGTTAGTGTGTGCGGGGCAGCTTACGCGCGGGGGAGGGCAGCGGGGCGGCGGTGGCAGTGCGGCGTGCGTGGGGACCGGGGCTTGCGCGGCCGGGGGCACCGGAGAGGTGGCTCCGGTGGAGACGACGGCGGTGGCGGGGCCAAGCCGGCGGGTGCGGGGAGGGGGCGGGGGCGGGGACGGGAGAGGCCGGGGTCTCCGCGCCGTCGGCGGCGGAAGTCTTTGTTCCTCGGGGCCTCGGAACAAAGGAGCGGAGGGACCGCGAGGGGGCCAGGTGGGGGCCGGGACCGCGGCCGGCGCTGTCCCTGGTGCTGGCAGCGTCATCGAACTCCCGACGCGGGCGGCCAGGCCACCTGCTCCCGGTCGTGCAGGCACGTCCCGATGGCACTGGGTGGTCCTCGTGATGGGAGTGTCCCCGGTGGAGGAAAACCTAGCATCCCTGAGGGTAGGGCAGGAGAGTGGCTTGGCCTGCGCCTCCGTCTGTGCGCGGTGCACAGCCGCTGCCCCGGCGGAGTCCCCGAGCGGGTCCCCTGGCGCATCCCTCCCGTCGAGTCCTTCCAACCCCCACTCCGAAACAGCCGGGTTGGAAGCAGCTCCTGCGGGGGCTCTGTCACGCTCCCGTCCCGGCTCCGTTCGCGGCCATCTGCCGCGGCCTAATTCTACTCTGCCGTCTATCAAATGGCAGCCACAGCCAGCCAGGGCAGGGGATGCTCTCAAACACTAAATAAGGCAAAACAACTAAGAAACAGCAATAACTACAAGAACTATAATGATAACAACACCATCTGCCTGAAGGTCATAGAGCTTTGTCCTCTTTCCTATTGCACTCAGGAGACAGTGCTGACTGCAGTGGGTTTTTTACCAAAAAATTGGATTGCAAATTGGACTGATCATCCTTCTCTGCAAAGGGATAGAAGAGGAGAAATCCTGCTTTTTCCTCAGCCTCTTCATTTCCTTGTAATCATCCTTATACTGTCCAGTAGACAGATTAAGTACATGGGCTACTCCATCCTTTCTCTTCAGCTCAGCGACCTGAGGATGAGTCTTTCTCAATGCACTGCCTGCTCCTGCCGTGCCACATAGCTTCTCTCATTTCTTGTTTTTGAGATGCCTCTTCATATATACACATTTACCTACACATACATATGCACATTTGCACATTTTCTATGTACCTTCAGATTGCCCTAATTTCTTCTTGTTTATGTGTTCTTTGTAAGACCCAGAACTTCGCAGGATCTCAGAGGAAACAGAGGAAGTCCATCTTCGCCTGCTCATGTGTGGGCCAGGATGATGCACAGCCGAGATTAACCCTCATACAGGTAGAGAACAGGGAGGTCTTTTAAATGTGTTGTGTCCTGAGCAACCTGAAGGACTCAGCTAAACTCTTTGCAGGATTACAAACGTGAACTGACTACCCCTGCACTAAGGCATTATCTCCACCACATCTCATTCCTTCTTGTTTTCTCGGAAATCGGTGCTAAAGATTTGTTATAAACATTCTATACTTCCACAGCAAAAGAAACATAAATATGTAAATGAACCTGCTACTGCCAATCTCTCAATGTAATTTTAAAAATATTTCTTAATGCTTGGAAAGAAGTGGAACTTTGGAATAGATGGAGGTTCTTTTGGAAAGCTTTCAGAAATAGGGAACCTTCCTCCCTTCTAAACTACAGTAGCAATAATAATGGTGGTGACGATGGAGCACATAAAAAATGGATGTAAGGAAGGTCTGAAGACCCAGCTGATGAACTATGCCATCTAGAGCCATGTGTTTCCCCTTCCGATGTCACATCGCTGCCGTAGGTTGAGGTTCTGGTGGTGGCATCTGAAAGTAACCTGCATTTAATATTCACCACTTGCCTTCTTACTCCAAGAACAGAACAAAAACCCTGCTCTCAGCAATTTTTCTTGGGGGTAGTCTGATTTCCAAGGCTCTTCACGGAGAGGAGCAGGTAGCACTGCCTGCCAGCCTCTCCTTGACTTAGAAGAATGCACCCACGCCCTCCCACTACCCTCTCCCCCTTTTTTTTTTTAATTGTTTTTCCTTTTTCCCTCCTTAAGCGACGCCTGCCTGGAGCCAGAGGGGCAGAGCTTGGCCCCAGGACGGCCCCAGGACGCCCCCGGGCGCTGCCCGGCGGGGCCGGGCGGGATGCGGGACGATGCGCCCCCTCCGCCGGCACTGCCGCGACCCCTGGCGGCCGCGCACGGCGCGTCGCCCAGCGTGGCGCAAGTCCCGCTCAAGTCTCGCTGAAACCCGGCGCAGCAGAACACGAGAAACTTCCAAGTACGAACCGTTTAGAAGCAATGTTCCGAATCAAAAATAGCTTATAAATGTCATTCTAAAATGTTTTGCAACGTAGAGCGTGAGAAGTGATCTTTTTATGCCTTCCCAGTGGGAATCAAGGCTATCTGTCTCGTAGATTCAGATCTGCAGAGTATCATCTGTGACATGAAAATATGAAGGGAAATGAGCTGTTACCTGCTTACTGCAGCTGTTGAGGCAGTCTGGGGCATCAGTTTCACTCAGGGCAAACGGTCCTACTACAGCAAGAGGCAGACTCAAGGTATTGTCCAATTTACAGACACAGGCCAGTCATTTTCAAAAAGTTAAAATTTAGCTTTTGAATAGGGATGATTAAACACCAACATTTCATTTTGTTTCACTTATCCTGTACTCAAGGTGGTGGTTAAGAAAGGTGTAGAGCACGGGTAAGTCAGGTAATAAGCAAAGCAAGCCCTCCAGCAGAACAAGCACTGTCCCACTGTCTCCACCCTGCAGAGCTGTTCCAGCAGCAGGATCTTCCCACTGAGAGAAGCAGAGGAGAAGCAACGTGTCTGGTGCTTCAAGGCCTGGTGCACGGCAATGACTGCCACAGGGCAGGAAAGTGGATGAGCCAGCCAGCAAGGTATGTCATGAGATTAATTTTCACACTCCGCACAAAATTCCTCACATTTCTTTTGTATTACTTAGCTCCTCTGGTACTGATAAATTACCACAATACTGAGGAGTGAGAGGAGTGAGATAATAGAGATAGTAATTTGCAGTCTAATGTAAATTAATTTTTACTTAATCAGGAACTGCTTTAATAGCATGGTGGGTATTAAGAGTACCGTACTACTCTATACTAAATATTTGTGTGTCAGAAGTAGTCTTATAAAAACCTGACTAGAGAAGTCCCACAATCAGAAAACAGGGAAGAAATACCAAATCTTAAATACGCTGTTAGTATAAAATATTTTAAATTGTAAATCAAGGACAAATTAATTAACAGGAGGAACCTGTTAAATTAACTTGGTGTACTGTTCATGCTAAGGTTGCTTTATAATTTGCCATATTAAAGTAATTCTGTTTATTAGACGATGAAGTACAGTTTGCATGTTAAATAGCATTAACTAAAATATTCACTCAATACTTGTACAATAGTACTTAAAATGTAATCTAAGGTTGTTAACTCCATCACTAGTAAGTTTTGTATAAGTTTTTTGTACAAGAAAATGCAAGATGAAATACTCTGTTTACAGCAACTAACTAGTGTATATTTGAACTGATCTTAATGAATGCAGCTGGTAAAGAAGTTAATAAGCAAGGCAATAGTATTATTTTCTTAGAAATTTTAACAGACAATAACATAATTATTTGAAGTATTATTACAGTACTTGGAACATGGAACACATATAGGTCTTTCCAACTTCAGAGGGTTATGACCCAGCACTGTGATGTCATTTGGCACAAACTATAAAACAACTGTTCAGTCTTTTCTGAACCCAAAACTTATTCCATACACTATTCCTATCTCACAAACTAGATCTAGTAGAGGTATTGAAAGTATTTTTGGACCATTTAAACCATATATTATTTGATTTACCGTTATACATCTAGTGTATGAGACAATCAACTGAGAGAATATTTTTTAATGAATGTACAGGTCTCTGTAAAAAGCTCTTACCTTCACGCGGTTGCTTTTAAAACTTGATTAAGAACTTTTTGCTATTTGTCCGTTCTTTAGATAATATATGCTCAGCCTACTATTATTTGTGGATAAAATGAAAAGAGCAGCTGTGACGGGAAAACTAAAGGTACAGTCTTTAAATTTTTACCATCAACACTTCCAAGTAGTCTGCCAGACTGGGTGAAGTCCATTAAAAATCAAGGGCACAACTTCTTTCAAATTAGAAAAATTCGAATATGTCTGACTCCTATTAAACTGAACAGAGGAATAAAAATTATTATGTGGCTCTCATTAATTAAAGTAATAATTAGTGAGATGTTGACCTATTTTAAAGATTTATAGTTCCTCATCTCTCCTCTGTAGAGCATTCTAAGGGCCAATCAGAATAAATCATTTCCTTGAAAAGAGTGCCAAAATCCCAAAAGAAAACAGAAAAAAAAGTGGGTTTTTCTTCTTTGCATTTCTTTTGCTCAATTTCAAACAATTAAAATGTCAGATTCCCCACATTAGTCAAACCGGTGACGTCAGCTATAGGTTTCAGGTCACGAGTATTTAAGAAATACGTAGAAACCTCTCAGGTAAAAAGAAAGAAGTGTTAATTTTATCTTGGTAAATATAAAAGCAAAACAACATATGTGCCTTTTCAGATAGATCTTCTGCACTTATATGTTCACAAACTTAATTTTAGTAAGCTTGACTTTTTAGCAAGATATTGCACTCTTAGACCAAGAGCCAGGTTTAAACATGCATGGTCAAGATTTGAAGAACATAGGATGCAATACACATTTCAAAAGGAATTCCATCCCTCCCTAAATGAAGTCTTGATTTAAGATGGCGCTGCAGCACATACTGCAGTCCCCAGCTGTGCTTCAGATCCATAGCTATGTACCGGAATACAAGCCCCGCTAACTGCCAGGACAGGACAAACATTTTGGGACTGTTGAATCTCTTTGAACTGAAGGTTCCTACTACTAACACAGCAACGGGTCTGACCAAGGTCAGTGTTCACACTACGCTATTAGTGCAGTCCATTAAATGCATCCAAGCACTTCCAGTAATATACACGCAATAAAAATAGAGCATTAATCCTGCTTATGCAGAAGAAATAATACATAATACATAATAATAGCAGAGTTGGCCCAGAAACACTTTTCTGTATCTATGAAAAATGTAGGACTTCTGGAATACTGTGTCAGAAAGAACACAATCACTTTAAGGAATGGGAATAATAGAAACAGAACAAATGTCGCTTGAGAACATGGAACATCATGGTCTGAAATAAATGAAACTGTTTCATGTTGTAAGTTACGACTACAAGTTTCTGGAAGCAGAGGGAGGAAGAGGACTTGGGGTATTATTTTGTTGCATAATATCTGTATGCCACATGTGTGATATACACCTGAAAAAAAAAAAAGCTAGTGGGATACTACTAGAGGAAATTATTTTATGCTGTAACCCTACATGTAGGCAAGCCTTCATTGGGATTATGTTGCCTCATTAATCGTGGTCAAGCAAAAGGCTACTAAGATAGCAAAGAGGATGAAGAATCTCCAGCCATGAACTGATCACAAGAACTTGATTTGTCAGCTCAGCAAAGTGAAGTCAGAGGGGAGGTATGACAGCTCTTGGCAAATATCAGAGGAGAAACAATGCTAGAATAGGCAAAGAAGTTATTGTACTACCAGGATGCTAGCACTAATGTTACCCTGAAAAAAATCCAAACCCCTAACCTAGGCATAAAGGGAACTAAATTAATAAATAGCCTTTTCATAAGCTGATGGAGGACAAGAAAAAATCATTTGAAGAGTGAGTAACTGAATTCATTTACTAGGAAGAGTATTCTGACTATTTTCTGCTGAAATCTAAAAAAAAAAAAAAATAAAAAAATAGAATAGGTCTCAGCCTGGGTCAAGAAAAATATTTCATGTATATTTAGGAGCTCAAAATCTAGGACAATTTTAAAATAAGAGCATGTTTTGAAAGGGAATTAGAGAAAGAACAAGAACAAAAGAGAAAGTGAAAGAGGAAGAGAGAAAAAAAGAAGAAACAAAGAGAAATAGGAAGAAACTGAGAAAAGCAAGGAAGAGAAGTATTTTCAAATAAATGAAAATGTTCACAACAAAGTGTTTTAATCCATTCATTCAAGGTGAATTTTTGAATTGGGTAAATTAACAAAATATACAATTTCACTGCTTGGTTTCAATGAGTCAGCATTTTTTTCTTACAAATATTATTAAAAAATCCTAAGTGCACTGCTATATTAATAACCTCTGTTCTTCTTTGAAGTGTTCCTTCTGTCACTATGCAAAACTTGCATAATAAGATGCACTTTAATATGTCAATAATATTGTAAGCTTACAGGAACAGAAAATCCAGGTATGTTACGGCTGTTCTAAAATTACTGGAAATAAATTCTCTAAATCAAAGGATTCAAAAGCTTTTTCTTTTTGTTAATTTTTCTGATTTTAAGCAAAGAGATAAGGAAAATGCAAAGATGACTTGTTTATAGGTTTTTTAGATTGACAGAAGAACATTTAGCAAGGTTTATGTTATACTAACTGCAAGAAATCAAAGAAACATAGATCCTGGATGTTTATGATTCGGAACACAGATATATTGCTTTTGTCTGCATGGTGATTTGCATACAGGCATATAGAGATTAAAAATATGGATAAATAAATGCACCCCAGATACCAACTATATTAACATTAATCCATTTTCAAACAATTAGCAGTCCATAAAGTCATGTTACATCATGTTATAAATTTCGGCAATATATAAATTTCTTTGTTTTTGTTTTTGTTTTTTTATTTTCTCTCAACTTTGGAGACAAAGAACACATCAGAGAAAAGTCACCTAAGGATGCAAAATCTTAAAGAATCCTAAATACAGGAAAACAGGAAGTTAGAAATGAAAACACCTGACTGTTTTTACCATCTTAAACTACAGAAAAACACTGCCACCTTTGCCGATATAACACATGAGCCTGCAAGATGAAGGCTATTCTGTGGCTCACGTGTGGATGTGAAGGAACAAAGACTACCCAAGCTCACCTGCATGGAAACTGTGAAACTGCCTGAAAAATTTGGGGAATACTGAGCTCAGCATTTATTAGGAAGATTGCCACCGATTCTGAGTAGAAATGAAGAATGAGTTTCTATTCAAACTTAAGTGAAGAGAAATAATTCTGCAACTTCAGAAGTTTATAGAGCAATATGGAGAAGCACAGAAAGGAGACAAATAGTTCAAAGTACAATAGAACGGTGAAAAGTACTTTTTTTTAATTCATAATGCATTTTCTTCCATTGCCTTTTGTGTTCAGCTTAAGACAGTTGTGCAAACAAGCTTCTTTAACATTTTGTGGGCAAACAGAAAAATCAATAGATTTTTATGTCTCCACATGCACATGGTTTTGTCCAATTTATTCAAGCACTCACCCTCTCAGAAAGTAAGAACAATTTTGTCCAGCAAGCAAGAACAACAGACATGTCCCAAGTGATTATAGGATGCCTTTGAAGAACCTTTTTCTGGTGAACACTTGTCAGCAGAAGCTGTGTTTGTTGGATTTGTGACCGCAGGATATTTCTTCCTTGAGCCACACGAAGTACGATGAAGGGCAGAGGAGACAGTGATTTGGGATAAACCTGGAGCACTGGGACTGCAGTTCCAGCCCAAAGCCTAACTTGAAGGAGGGGATATAAGTCTGATAAGGAACGGGAGGACAAATCCTTCCTTCTTCTTATATGTGCCCAGATCTGGAATTTAGAAAGACCAATAAAGGCAAGCAGTAGCTAAGTACAGGCAGGAAAAGGCAATAACAACTCATTTGAAGCAATTACAAATGTCAGAGCTAAATCAGAAAAGCCCTGTCAGTGAAAGAGAAAGATGGCTGATCTTTTGAAATGCTCCTGAAAAATCCCTGCAAAATAGGCACTTAGAAAGTTGGCTTTGAATCTGTTAGACTTACACAGAAACACTAAATTATTGTGCCACATATAGACTCCTTGCCTAAAGCAATACAAATCAATAAAACACACACAAGTATTTCGTATTTCCTCATCCAAAACTCTACATTTCCCTGTCATGTTTCGGGGTTTGCATCCTGTAGCACATGATTCCTACATTTTCCTTAATTTTAGAAACCTAGCAACCTAGTCATACTAGCAACCTCTCTTCTGTCTGAGAAGGACAAGGCAGGGTTTTAACCATCAGTGCTGCTCAGCGCTAGCAGTAAAGCTGGGTGAAATGAACATTCTACCCCTAGGGGGTATGGATTGGAGCTGGAATGCCCAGGTTACACACAGAGTTGCCATGCCCTTCTGTCCTTTCTGAGAGCTGATGCGTTTAGAAAGTGATTATATTGGTAGGGAGGGATTAGCAGACATCACACTAACAGATCGTGCTTTCTGAATGTTCTAGAGGAAAAAACTAAGGAGAGGTGGAGAGGTTTTGGAGACCAAATTTAGCAGAACTGAATTCCCTACTTTTTCAGTTTGCTTAACAGTGAGAAAAACCATAGCAAAATAGATATGTTAACAGGGTCAAAAATTGTCTGAGCTCTCCCAAACAAGCAGCTTCAGAAAAACAAAACCCTGGAAAATGCACAGCAAGAACTTAAGAATTTATCAAGATGAATACAGAAAGCTGATCTGACACTCTGTACTTAAAAATCTTCTATATTCTGGTTTCTGATTACAAATTATTTAAAAAGCGTTTGGAAAGCATCATCGCTTATGGAAAAAAAATCTGCATCTCTAAAGAAATCACAGATTTGTAGATAGGATCCTAATTTATTATTCCAGTATACCACCTTAGGGGTGCCCAGTTACTGGCAAAAGTAATTTTAAGAGTTTATTTACCCAATTTTCTTTCATTTTTTTCCTTCAAATATGATTCAATAGGCTTGACTACCCTTCCTCCAGACAGCTCCGAGGAGGGCTAGTGAAGACAGCAGGGCATGGCAGGGTCTGCAGAACCATGCCAGCAGCCTCAGACACTCTCAGCAATTCAGCCAGACAACTAGTATCTAAATTCAACAATATTCACAATCTTCCATCTGATGGCGGGTTTTCAGCATGGAGAACTCCAGGGATAGTCACTTACTGGTAAGCCCATCTTTCAGTGCTAGTACTCAGCCTAGGCTTCAGTGACTACCTATCTAAAGCTCTCGAGATGTGCCTACCCTGGCAGGAGCAGATAAGCACATATATATACACATCATACAGCCCTTTGGCAGGTTGTGTCCCCATTGTCAGGGTTTGGGAAGCACCAGTACAGCTTATTTAAGTTCCAGCTGAAGTTTCTCAATTCCCAGCATAAGAAAGCTGTGACCACCACAGTACCGGTTATTAGAGAAGCTCTCTCGTTCAAAATGATTAAGTATTTTTGCAGGTCAAGGCAGATGAGCAACATTACAAACATTACATATTCATGTGATTCTCTCTACTGCTTTCTATTACTTATATGATACAACTGTTTTTATAGCAAAGTAGGGGCAGTAGGGACTGCTTAATTGGGATAGTCTAACGTATGGACAATTGTCCAAACCACAAATTATCTAAATTTTGTATGGACAGAGATGGATCTTAAGAGCTCTGTAGGGGTCAGAGCTGTTAACAAACTGCTAAGGAGGGCTTTGGGGACTAGATGGGCATAGTGGGAAAATCTGGAAATTCATGGTGAAGCACTCTCCCAGTTCACTTTAGCATTGGGATAAACTGCTCAGCCTGTGATTTTTCCCTTTTTTGTTATTAGTGGGGCTGAAAGTGGTTCAGAAGGGGGAGACTTGGAAAACTTGGTCAATCATGCTGCTGGGAAATACTATTGTATAGTCAAATTTTCCTGTCAGGGCCTGCCTCTTGAAGCTACAACATTATGTCTTCAGGCTACATGCTTATTTATTCCCATGTGTTACATTTGGACATCATGTGCATATAGTGTGTCTATACATATATATATATATACACATATATGTGTGCATATATATATATATACATTTATAACACATCTACTAAAACGAAGGGATCTAGGGAAGTGAGAACCTTTAAAATACCACATTTACAGAAGAAGAAAAGAAAAAAGCTTCCAAAAAACTTAATTCTATGTTTTCTTTATTGTTCCTTTCACCAAAGTAAAAGTAATTCCACTATATTCAACTTACCAAAGCCTGAAGACATTCTTGGTGTTTACTTTTAGTTCTAATCCAGTTCCTTTGTTACTAAATCAGTTCAGAAAATAATTTAAACATACACTTAATTACATTCTTAATGCCAAGTGACTTCCTAAATCAGTCTAATAATTTAAAGTAATATTAATAAACATTCTTTAATGAACAATTCCATTTAATATCTGTTCACAATGCCGTGCCGCTCTCATATTCTTTCACATTTCCCTGTTTTTACTACTAATAGTAGTACCAATAATAAGATGTAGAAAGTTGCTTGATGTTTTCGATAGTCAAGGCTTAATGGCTTTGAAGAGGATCATTTTCAGAAGAAGATCACTTCAGAAAATCAGGTTCTCGACCCTACATCAGTAATTTTTTGGGCAAATTTGACTTGCTTTTCTAGGCAAACCCTTGTATCCATAGCAACACACACAGGCTTCCAGTTTGACACTGTGGTTTTGAAACTATTGTCTTGTGAATAGTTGTTGGAAATGATCACAACTGGTATGCTGTGCATGTGATCATGCACACATCTGTGTGTGTGTGTGTATGAGGTACAAACTGGTGTTTGCGCATGCAAAGTGTCCTCTCTTCCTCTCTTTCCTCAAATCTTAGTGAGACAAGTTTCCATGAGTAAATAGATTTTCCTAAAACACTCTCCACCAAATGTCTTTCTTTTCTGCAAAAAGCATGTATGTTAAATTCATGAATGGGATAAGTTCTCTGACTAAGTGTTTCAGTAGTGGTACAGCAGAAGGATTGTGGAGACAGTGCAGGAGGGAGAAGGACGGTACACCAGCCTTGCAGTCTGATCCCGACCCAGTGATCCCAGGTGTGCTCCAGCACAAGGCTGGGTATTACTCTTTCTGACAGTATGAGGATGAGAACATTTCCACTTTCTCCATCAATTACCCCAGCCATGCACCCCCTCCCTCCCACTACTCTCTCAGCTCTGGAGCTGCAATGGGAATCTCCTGTTTCCAGGCCTATTCGTAACCTTCAGGGCTCGAGTGAAATACAGAAATTTTTCTCCTACATTTCAGCAAATACTACCACAAGTTATACTTGCACAAGGACAAAAACACAAGGAAGAAATAAGCAACAGGAAACCGTGTAAGGGGATGGGAAAAAAGCAACACTGTTACTGAAAAAAGGCACATAGGACTTTAATACAAAGCTTGATAACTGGTCGGGGACCCCTGGTGGCCTAGTGGTTAGCATGCAGGACTCTCACCTCTGCGACCCAGGTTCGAATCCCAGCCAGTCCCCCGGGCAGATGGAGCCCGTTAGCCCTGTGAGGCCATCCATCTATGAGAAGGTCACTCTAAACAAACCTACGTCCTGAGGACCTCACTGCCATTGTCCAAGCTTGCTTGGCCCCGGCAGATGAACCTTAGGATTAAAGGGTGGGCTCGGTTCAGCGCAGGCTGTGTCTCACCTAAAAAAATCCATTGCGCAGGCTGGAAAGGTAAAAAAGACCTTTCCCCAAATCTTCGTTCGCGAAGACTGGCCATTATTATGATAACTGGTCACACTTTACAATGGCCCAGGAACTATCCACAAGCTCCTAAGTGGCATAATTGAACAAATGCCCTGAAGAACAGGCTTAGTTCAGAAGTGCTCAGAAGAAAGAAAAGATTGAAATGCATTTGATATGTAAATCTAACCAGCAAGTGGAGCTGCTTACAGAGCCATACAAAAGGGATTTATCCTCTTTTTAGATTCCTGGCTTTATAATGGCAGTGGTGATCTTAGGGACATCCCTAGTCAACTTCAGAACTCCATATTTGGTATAAATATGCTAGCTTAATAAAGTGAGACTGATCAAAAGAAATTGAAAAAAAAAAGTGCTAAGATTTCCAAATTCATCCTTTTTCATATCAGAGAAAAAAATTACACTTCTCATACATTACTGGGGAGGGTATGTGAAGTGGGAGCAAGCCACTATACAGACATACACACACACACCTAAGAGAGCATCTTACTCCTGCAGTCTTTTTGCTACAGTTTTCTCAAGCCCAAAACAGCCTCTCTCCTCTCAGAAGTGAGAAAAGAAACATCCCATTGCAAGCCATGGTTAGTCTGATGTTGTAGCTACTCATGTAGCCTCTCCTGTGACAAGGACAACATTTGGCAAGTCCTTGTCTCTGAAGAAGCTGCATTTAGTTTGTGTCACGGCCACAAAAGTAGACTGCAAACACAGAACTTCTACTAACACACCAATAAAAATCCCAAGCTAAAAATGTTACAGATGACGTTGATCCAATATTCCTCCTACACACACAAAGCCTAAGATTGCCAGAAGGACCGCTCTTCATTAAATTTTCATTAAATGGGCTGTTACAATAAATAAGCAAATTACTTCTTAGAACCACAGCACACGGTTCCAGTCAGAATAACGCAGAAGGCATGACTTATATCAAGCAGATTTTCAATCCTGTTACCAAAACTATCAATCACTTCTTGTCTAACAAGAATCCTGCAACATTATAATTTAAGCCTTATTTATACACTTTATAATTTAATACACATTATAATTTACTGTTACAAGGAATGCAGATTGGTTTTCAGTTGTCCTCTTTATGCAGAAGAAAGTTTGCACTGATGTACTTGTATGCATCTCTATTGACTTCAATCAAATCTGCAGGAAGATATAAACAAGATAAATGTTGTCTGGAGTAACATGAGCTAATCAAAGACTCACCTGTAGACTACGTGTCTATTTTCCACTTCTTTTGGTCTCAAAAAGACAGAAAAAACAATATTCTTCTCATATTTTCATGGAAGAAGCCTCTGAGCAGGAGTTAAAATTCTCAGTCAAAACCAAAGAAAATACTTGCCTCAGAGATGTTATTCAGCTTTACTGGCAAACTCAACTGGGAAACCTCCTCAGATGAAGGTGTCAGAGGCAAAGCATTAGCTATCCCTTTAGCCTAAAACGTCTAGCTAATCTCATATAAACCCACTAAAATCCGTCTATCAGATATGGTGAGAACATATAGGTTTATAGGCACTACAGATTTACAGTGCTTATCCACAGGACCTACTTGCATTCTCTGGAGAACAGTTTTTTGAGGACAAAAAGTAAGACAGTCTGTCTCCTGCTATGGTGCTGAGATCAGTTTCATGTATAAGCCAATAAAATTTGAGCAGCACTTACATTATCTTAACTTTCCCCATATTGACCCCTTGCCTTTGAGCATGGGAATGCATGCCTAGGTTTTGTTTGTGATTGGTTTATAGCATGTATAGACTGTGACAAGTCACAGAGCATCAGCTCTCTAGCTGGCTACTGATGAGAAAAACTGTTTTCTAGCCAATCCCCTGAGAGTCCTGCAGTTTATCATAGCATGTGTCAACAGGATAACCCTGTTAAATGTTTCCAATGAAAAAGTGGAAAATTACTCATAAAACAGCTT